GTCACGCGATTCGATTTCGCGTGAAACATCAAAGATAACAAAGTCGGAAAGCGAGCTAAAATAGTGCAGTGAGTGGTACGAATAGTGCCGCTAATTTTTTTCTCCACAATATTCCGGCGTTCTTCTCGCCGGTTCCGATATTTTAGAAAGTTGCTTCGATCAGAGGCGTTCCCCATCTGTTTCAGAGGAGCCGATTCGACGGAATGTTGATTAAATTTCGGATGATTGAACGTGTCAAGGAGCTTTTTCCGTAAAAGAGTTAAAATTTATTGTTTCCTGACCGTATATTTCTCTAAAAAAAAATGGATCTTGCATAAACACGTTATATAAAATATTAAATATCAGTTGCATTCACCATAAAGGGAATAACGTAACATGAATAATACATAAATTTTATAGAGTCATGATGCCATCGGACACTCTCACTGCCAGTGCAGCAAAAATTTTAACATGAAATTTTAATACCACGCGTGCGGTTACCAATTTATTAATTCCATCGAAAGTTTAATGAAAATAAAAAGTGACTGCACATATGGTACACTGAGAAAAAAACCTAGTTGTAAATATTGTAATTATAATAAATATTCATAACAATTAATACAACAAAAATTCATAACAATAATAAAAATTAAACTACGCCGCAATGTGAATAATACAAATAAATATGAATATATATTATAATTTATAGAAAAAAATTCTGCGGTGTCAATTAAATATTTTTTTTCGTAAAATTGTGTAAATATGATTATTATTATTAATATTATAAGCCGTAAAAACTATAAAAATGAAGCTATTATCAAATGAAGCTCACCATTAATTATTTTTCCATGCAATTTTAATTATAAATACTGAACACTTCTCTCAGTGTATGTAATACAGATTTCGAGAATAATGAAATATTGATTCCCCATATAAACCAGCGAATGTGGCATTACAATTTTACGCAATGGGTGTACCGAACATAACAGTATAAATTTTGTACGGCGATAATGGACGTGCCGTGCATAAAAATGCAGATTTAGTGAAGAATAGGAATAATCAGAGGATATGTTGATTGACGAGATGATTATAGGTGATGTAAAGAATAACTGAGATGTTAATCAATATATAAAATATACTTTCGCATTAATATTAATTAACCGTTTAACTTTGAAGATGAGACTGTTTTTAATTTAAGATTCCTGTAACAATTTTTAATTTAAGGTTCGAATAATAAACGAATATCTTGGAAAAATATAAAATAAAATTATATACACAATTGAAAATTTGTGTTGAATTTAATACATTTTACATGTCACAAAAGGCCCACTTAAATTTTTGTGTTAATTTAAAATAAGATAAATATGTTAGAAAGTAACATAAATATTATGTAAAAAGTTAACTCAAAAAATACTGACACGATTTGTAAGCAATCATATTTTTTTTATTAAAATTAACATTTATGATATGTTGAATTAACACATTTTATTTATTTATCTAAGAATTTACATTTAAAAAAAGGTATTTTTATGTAATTTGTTCACTCATAAATTGTGTCATTTTAACACTAAAAAATATTGAAAATCAATTAACAACGAAATATCCAAATAACACAATCACATTATGTTAACAAATAACCCTCGGATGTACTAACTAAAACATAAAATTTGAACAAGAACTTGACTGGACTGTTTCCAATGCAAATACAAAATGCTTTTACTAGGTAAGTAAATTACAACATTTTAAATCTATTTCACGTCACATGAACGCAACAGGAAGCTAATGTTATTTGTCTGACAAATAACCTGGTTTTCCCAGTATAACACTCGCTGATACATCGTGTAACAGTATGACGTAAATCGCACTAATGTACAACATTGCTTAATTAAAACGTTTTAATTACTTTTTTTTTAAATCGGGACTTTCGAAAATGTTATCGTCGATAATTTCTCTTCCGTGAATACAAATTAAACCTACTGAATATCGTGAAATAAATCGTTAGCCTTATCTGCTTTTTCCTTTACGATCTTATCCCGATATTGTTTACTGGTATCTGCTCGTTCGAATTTGCTTTTTCTATACTGAAATTCCGCTTTACTTTACAACGTGAAAGAGCGTTTGCGCGATATTGTTTAGAAAGGATAGCGTAGAAAGAGTAGACCGCGGCAACACATCACGTCGATTTCCTGAATCGTTACGGTTCGGATCAGCGAATATATCTCGACGCACTCGTCGAAACAAAGCTGAAAAAAAATAGAAAAACAGCATTTCCTTTCCCTCGACGAGCGCAGAGGCATTTGGTTTGATGTAACCCGCTGTGTGTGTTTGCGTGTGTGTGTGTGTGTGCACGCGAGACCCGGCCCCGACCTCATAAAATCGGGTTTGCAGCAATTTGGCGATTTAACGATCCGTGAAATGCGACCGTACGGTCCTTCGCGTGAAAATTAGCCTTGAAGGGATCGCGGTCACTTCGCAAGTAAATAATCGTAAAATGTGAGAGAGCCACGAGAGACGTGAGTGTTGATTCGATATGAGAGGCTGCGAGAATTCTGATAGAATAATTCGCGAAGCAATTCCAATTACGTGGCTTTAATCGCATGGATTTGTTCGACGATGCGCTACGCCGCGCTCGCGATCCAATAATTATATTACACGCGCCGAGAAATATAGTAGGAGATGAATTTGATCAATGATGGGATACGACGGGATTCTCGCTGATTTATATGCAGCGTTAATAGGGAAAAGCAGAATGTATTAATTAATGCGCTAATGCGTCTTGCTACTCGATACAACAGTAGTCTATTAAATAAACAATGATTGTAAGAAATAAATAACGGAATAATCAACAACAAATAAATTAATAATTAATAGTAATGAATAATTAATAATAATGAATATTAATATAAAATCACGAAATTAGACAAATTTAAATTTAATGAATGACCCGTTCAAAATATTAATCGACAATGATAATGAAGATAGATTAATTTTGAACGTTTTAATTTAATTTAGTTTAATTTAATTTATGTTTGGTACTTGAATTAAATAAATACAGTACATAAATTATCGTTTAAGCAGAACTTATTTATGCAAGCACAACGGTGTTTGGTGTTACATTGTAACCAAATTAGGGAAATTTGTCCTAATTTTTTAAATTTTATCATTTTACTCTCATTTGCGAGATTCTTTGTCTCTCATAATATATCGCGCACTTATACTCCTGATATTGCAATTTCCCGGTCAAAGACGATCGTTGACCTAGAGAGTAACACACACAGGCGAAGACTACAAGAGATTTCGAAATGACGGAATTGCGAACTCATCACGAGTTACATAACGGTAAATTATCATAATATATTTAATAACAGCGGAAGTATTGTAATAAAAAGATGTTACGTATCGAAAAAAGTAGCAGCTATAGTGTCCAAGTGGAAATTACATCAAATCAATAAAATTATAGTCGTGAGATTGTCTACGAACTGTGCAAAATTTCATATTACAGCATCGACAATAAAATTACGTTTAATTATAGTATGAATGCATTTAAACAAGACTATTTTAACCGCATCCTGTTATTAAATGAATTGATTTTCCTCAATACATTTATAAATATAAAAGGTGATAAAAAGTTGAACTCATTATATATGGAAATATTTGAAATGAGAGACTAAGTCATGTAAATAATCGCATGTAGAATCGATGCAAATCAAGTGAACGGAAAAAGAGAGAGGCGTATCGCGATCTCATCGCTGATAATCGCTTTAGTGCGTCAGTTACGATCCCAAAATAAAGCGAAAAAAAAAATGCAATTTTCTCTAGATTAGATAGAATAGAGCGAGACTTTTTCATCCATTTCTCGCGATAATTTTGTTGCGCTGCTGCGCTAAAACCTTTCGCAGCCTATTATTGTTTTACGTGAAGTAAAGCGTAAAGCATGTATCCTTTCCCTGACGATGTGTTATTTTGGAAATAGAATTCTGAGCAATAGTCTGGTGTGTTCACGTTCGTATTTTTCTGAGAATAAAGACATTCCCCTTCTTTATTATCATAAAATGTGTGACTTTTTATTTCTGCGAAAAACGCACGCATTCCTCGTGCGGGCTTTCGTGAGAGGACGTGCCGCGATTACAATGAACGTGCCGAGTGCAATAATAATTATGTTTCTGAGAATTACACGTATTAAATATTTACAGATTGTGCTTGTGCTCTCAAAGAGCAATCATGATTGTATAATGTGTAAAATACAATATCTGTTTGACGTGCTTATAGTTATAACAGTGACGTTCTTTCGTTGTACAACCAAAAGCAACCACAGCTAAGACTATCTTCGTCTTCTGATCCTTGAAGACAAAGATAGCCTTAGCTATGGTAGCTTCTGGTTGGATAACGAAAAAACGCCCCAGATATTGTTTGCCGTCGTAAGTTTTCATATTACTTTAAAATTGAAATTGATAAGATAGTCATATATAGGGTAAAGCTATCTTATCAATATTTTAGTGCTTATAGTTATAACATATATTGTTTGCCGTCGTAAGTTTTCATATTACTGTAAAATTAAAATTTATAAGATATATAGTCTTAACCTATATATGATGTATATGTATATATATATAAATTTTGTGAATTTCGTGAGTCTCCTAACATATAATAAACAATGTTATTACATTAAGGAATAATATTGTTGATCCTTGATCGGCGAATTTGCAGCTGAATCATTTTTAATAGTAATTGAATTTACTGGCATTAGAAATGATTAGCCGTCGCTGTCCTCAAAACGCAACAAGGCATTATTCAACGGAGTAATTTTGTGGATACGACAACCACAGCATTTCGTCAAGCACATAGCTGTAAAATTTCGCAGTCAAGAGATGTTTATCAAATGTCCACTTTTCCGAGGTAGGTGCGCCCAAACATCCTCGAACGTGCGACTGACGACGAGGAACGTCTTGGTGGGAGGCAAAACTCTCTCTCTAGAGCTCAGCTGATCATTAAAGCTGCTGCTGGCACAGTCAAACTTTCACGCTCGGCGATACCGCGAGCTTCGCGAGCGAAGAGTATTAGTCTGTCGCCGCTTTCAAGGTCCGCGCTTCCGAGTACAGGACGTCGATTCCAATTCCGCTCCGATTCCAGAGCGGGACGCGAAAATCGTGACGTGTATCGTAGCAAATCTACGGGACCCGGAGAAGTTCCGCTGGGTTGGCTACGTGACCGAAAATCCGCCGATGGTTCGGAAAAAAAGTAAAGGAGGCCGATAAAAAGCCGATCGGTTTTTGCGGCAGTGCGGTCCTTGTTAACAGAACTTGTTCGCTAATTAGCGATATCGAAGTTTTATTCTTCCCGCGGTACTTTGATACGAAAGTTTTTGTATCGTCGGTGACTACAACGTATAATTACCAATAAGTTTTTTTTAAGAAATTACTCGGACAGCCTGACGGAGGAAGTGCGTGGCGCTCGAGCGGCAAGCTTTTTGCGAGACGTGAACAGATTCAATGATAAATTATTGCAAGAAGTGTATTAAGATACAATAAGAGAAACTGCAACTACAGGCTGTTTTATTGGATAAATCAACGGTTAATAATTACGATATAACGAATTAACTGCACCTCGATCTGAATGATATCGAAGTGATTTGTTTGTTCGTAAAATATTACAGAGTACGAGGACTCATCTGTGCTGCTAAGAATTATATTTCAATGTCGAAGATTTCGAATGAAGACAAATGATACTTGACGCGGGAGGCGGCATTGATCTTTCGATTCCTAGAATCGGATTATCGCGACCGACGATCGTGCATACGAGTCATACGTTATTAGTGAAAGTCGTCCGCGTTTGTACAGTTTGAGGATCAAGACTAACGGCGCTACGATATTCCCGCCAAGAATCGCGTCAAGTGGTAAAGAAGGTCAGGAAGGAAAGGAAGGATCAAGAGAGCTTCACCTGGCTGGAGAAAGGAAAAGATAATTGAGCCAAATGACGGGCGGTCTCTTCTCGACATTCAAATTTCGACACACGACGTCGTGAGCAAAACGACGTTTGAAAAGTCGAGAGACCACAGAGCGAAAAGTTGTGTGTCATTGTTCTCTTTGTCAGCTCTACTCGAGCGAATATCGAATCGAAGGGAGCACCTAAGCACTTTGAAGTAGACTAAGAATTGAGATTCAAGAGAAAGGAACGGATCCGAGATAAAGACAGCGCGAGACCACGAGCTAAGAAGCTTCTGGAGAGTTATTAGGAGCAAAAAGTTTCAAGGGGAATCCGTCGGATCGTGTACTTGGTAGAAAGGTGCTCTTACGACGGGTTCTTCGCGAGACTGTGCGAAAGATACAAAGTATGTACTACTGCTAGGAAAACAAATGGAAATTTCGTAGAATCATACTTCACGATGCTTTCCGCAGACAGAAGATATTTCAAGTAAGAGTTGAACTCGGCAGAAATTTAAAAAGAAAGAAAATATTAAACATGAAACAATTGAAGCAAAAAAAAAGCAGCCAGGACTTAAAGCTTCAGCTTTTATCCTCTTTTGTCCTCTGAGAGAGCGACGAGATTTATATTTTATATACAATTGTAGATGATATTGTTCGCTAAATTATAAAAAACAGAGGATTTAAGTCTAGTAGCATTACCTCTGTAAAGTTATGATAATTTTCTCATGCTATCGACAGTTAACGACCGCTATTCGCTAGTAGATGCTAAGAGGACATAAGTAGAAGCTTGAAGATCGTTAAACTCCATAAAGCCTTTGTATTACAAACTCTCTTTAGCTTCATCATTAAAAACGCTTTCGTTAAAAGCTTTCAATGCTTCAATATTAAAAAGGTATTGAAGACTGGGTTCTGTTATGCAGATTTGCATACAGCAAACAACTTCATTTACGCAGCGGAGTATCGAGAAAGAGAGAGAAAGCTTTGTTAGATGATCGGTAATTTCTATTTTCTCAGCTGAAAAAGAGATCAGAGAAGATTATCTACGGTCAATCTTTCACTCGAGGATCAAAAGAAACCGTCTGTTGACAGAATCTCATCTCTCTTACAGAAGATTATTATGAACAATTTTAGCGGGAAATTGGATGAGTAAAATCAAATCACACGGAGTGTATATAAAAACAAAAGATCAGCTTCGAAGCCATTTATTTGCTAAAAGCGAATGAGAATTGGAAGGAATGAGGCGCGTAATTCATCACAGACTTAAAAAAATCTCGTTTCTTCGGCAGTAGTTAGAATAATAACAAGCATCTTGGATGAAGTTTAATCTTCGTTATTTGTCTCGAAAGAGCACGTGCGCTTTAACTCTTGAACTTTAGTTATTCCGATTAATATTCAAGCAAATCGATTTGCGGAAAGATACGGAGAATGCGAAGAACCGCAGTCGTAAGGACGCGGCTAAGCAGCGTAGACCAGATGAGATACGCTCGCAAAACGATCACTGGGTGATTGACAGCAGGAATCGCACCGGAGACGATCCATCGGTTCGCCGCCGCGAATTGGAGCGTAAGAGATTCGTACTCCCGCCGGTATCATTCCGTTTACCCGACCGGAAACGCTCCTAGAAGAATACAAATTCACCGCGGTTCCTGCAGGCCGTTTCTCGCTTCGCCGATGCACGAAAGAAGTTCGTGACGAAAGCGAGGGGCGTTCGAACGTGACGGAGATCGTTCGTGGTAGAAAAGAAAAGGAAAACAGAAGAAAAAGAAAACAAAATGTCAGATAGCGAGACAATTGTTTGTTGAAGGACCGTCGACGATCTCGATATTCCGCCGCCGCGCGGCGCCTAAGAGAAAGAGAATCGCCACGCGAGAATCCATTTGCCATCGTTGACCGGGTCGACAAGCTGATATCCCGAGGATGACGCGTGTCGCATATCGACTCGGTCTCTATCATCTCCTCCTGGGGTTCAGCTTGCTGATCGAGCCCCTGCTGGGCTACAACGTCCTGATGGCCACTATGGGTGGTACCAAGTCCCACACGGTGCCCTTCGTCGCCCTTGGTACGAGTCTGAGGTCACGGGGGCACAACGTCACGCTGCTGAGCGCTTTCCCCGGTCCCGCGGCGAATAATGGTCTTCACGAACTGGTGCCGTCGATCCTCGAGGTGATTTACGATCTACCACGCAAGTCGTCTCTCCCCATGCTCTGACGGATTCCGAATTCCTCTGCAAGCTTTTTGCCGCATTTTACGCGCGCCATTACTTTCTTCCAATTTGGCTCTTAACTCATATTTAATTTTATTACACGCCGAGTCATTTACTAGAGTCGTCGGCTTGTATCGCCTGCGTTTTTTTTTTTTGCTCGTAACGTTCTCTTGTGAAATGTCTGCTTTACACTTCTGTTTTTATTTCTCTATTCCATTTCTACTTGGTTTTAATTTTTCTAAGTAATTTATGTTTCTTAGAAGAAGCAAACGTATGATATCGTTTCCTTTTCACGTTAAATTATCTTTATTACCTTGGGTACATACGATTGAGACATCTGTGTCCTGCACATTACTTTTCTTCGGAAAATTATATAGGAGCATCATATAATTAATTATAATATTTATATACAATTTTTTTAATGCACAACCTTACAAACACGATTGGGAAAGTTATTTTACAAAGTTACTTATTCGTTATTTTTTATTATAAAAATAGAATACAATAAATTCGCGTATTTTGTTTTTTATATTATATACTTTATCATTTGCTCCAATTTTTTATTACTTTTTGTACTCGGTTTCTATTAGGTGTTAAACTTAATTTCTGCCGTTTTTCGTCTCCAAAATTGATTTGTTTCGAAGGGAAATACCTTAATCAAAGTATTATTAATAAAATATTATTAATTAATAATAAAGTAGGAAATGGAGGAAATTACTTTGACTAAGCTATTCATTCATCTTCCCTTCGAAACAAATCAATTTTGGAGACGAAAAACGGTAAGAATTAAGTTTAACACCTAATATAATAAATATCTACAAGGTAACTTAAAAAGTAACTTATAAGTAACTTTTTTCGGCCCTACTTATAAATATTTTTTAAAGATGTTAAGAATGACTTAACGATTTGTATATATTTGTCAAAGTGATAAAAGTTAATTCGGGACACGAATGATCCATCGCGTGTAATAAAGGACCGTAAAATCGTACTAATACTTGAAGATGAGGAGGGCAAACAAGTTTTACGACGCAATATTGTAACACGGAAGTTGAAAGTTTCCGGGCTAACGCTAATCCAACCACGCAAGCTAACGGATTTATGTATTGTACCGCGCGCACATGTTCATCGCTCGTGTCTCACGGCAGGCTTACGTCGAGAATTTCACGGCTGAGTGGGACCTAGTGGGCGCCAGGTTCCGGAATGAGCTTCCGGTATCACCGTGGGACGCCATGAGATACGCCTGGGAGTCATGCGAGGCTTTACTCCAGGACGCGTCGTCGATAGCCAGTATGAGAAAACCTAATGGTAATCCGCACGCTCGATGGGACGTCGCGGTGCTTGACGGCGCTTATCCCGAATGCATGTTGGGAATCCTCCATGGCGAGAATGTGCCGACGATAATGTTGAATACGGTAATGTTCCTTTCGCCAAGAAGCGCAATGGGACTCTTTGCAATATTTCGATTCCCGTTACACCTCGTCCTGGTTTTCTTGCCGCGATAACAGCCTACTTGGACTTTTACTCGAAACGGATAAAACGATATTGTATCAAATCGACCCATGTAAAAATCATGGCGATAGAGAATTGTCGCGCACATTTTTGTTGAAATATATTTTATTCAAATATTTTTTAGCTAAAATATTTCATTTGTGATACTATAAATTCTTCAAGCGTATTAATTTGCTGCAAGATTCTAGACTGTGCACATCAAATTATGCAACGTTGATAGCACGTCATTCTCATTAGCCCTCTCTTTACTTTTTATTATTGACAATTTCGAGCGTTTTTAAATTAAATTATTTTAAAAGTTCTTGAGTTTCTAGAAATCCTCTATCTTGTAGTCAATAGGCTAATATTTCATTTGTCGTACGACAAATTTTTCAAGCATGTTGGCTGCAGATTTATATTATAGAAAAATTCTTGACTGTACACACAAAATTGCGCAACGTTGATAGCGCGTCACTCTCATAAGCCTCTCTTTACTTTTCATTATTGACAATTTTGAGAGTACCTTTTAAATTAAATTATATTTTAAAAGTTCTCGAGTTTTTCCAGAAATTCTCAATTTTGTGTAGTCAATAGGCTAACATTTCATTTGTCGTCGTTATACGACAAATTTTTCAAGCGAGTTAATATTTTATTTGTCGTACAACGAATTCTTCAAGCGTGTTAATTGGCTGCAGAATAGATATAAGTTCTCGAGTTTCTGAAAATTCTTTATCTTGCAGCTAATTAATACGCTTGAAGAATTTGTCGTACGACAAATGAAATATTAGCCATACGCTTAAAAAATTTCTCATACGATAAATGAAATATTAACCTTAGAATATTTTCAATCATAATATGGAAAGAACGGTTTTACTGAAGTATAAAAATTTAGCTAAACACAGGTCTAAAAATAATTTTGTTTGAATCATCAAGATAAATGTAGGACGCTCAAACTGTTAAAATTTTTGCAATATTGTCATAAACGTTCCACCTAATTATTTTGATGATTTGACGAAATTATTTTCAGACTTGTTTTTATAAGCTAAATTTATAAATACCTCAGCATAGTCGTTCTTTCCGCGTTATACAATATGCATATCATATTATATATATGATATAAAAGCGTTGCAACACATGCAATGATAAACTTTATTTTCAACGATTGCCGTTACGGATTTCACATGATATAATGCATTTTTTAAATATAAATAAAAAACTGACTTTTGCATAATTAGTTCCCGGTTGGTAGTTAAATATTTATACATGGTTGCATATTTCTTGTGTGTGAAAGAAGTTGAATATAAATCGTTAAATATAAAATTCTAATTAATATATATTCTTAACATTAAAGAATCGATTCTCAAGAGAATGAATAATATAATAAAACTGTCCTATTTTCTTAATCTTTTCTTCGTCTTCAAAAATATCGTAATAAAAAACGCAATCCATGGTTATTCCACGAGAGCGAAATGTGAAAAACATCTTTGTTAGTATTCCGACATTTCCGCATATAAATGAAAAGTAAACATGGTGAAACACACGTTGTTCACTCGTGTGTAACTAATATGACAAAGTACGAAATAATCTCGCCGTAAAACAGTTTACACGCTTCTCTCAGTATGTTAAAACAATTTTAACGCGCTAAAAAAATTGTTAGCCAGTTTGATTAGTAACAATTTTTTCTTTTTTTTCTTTTTTTTTTGATGACGTCATCATGCGACATAATGATAAAACAAGTTTGCATAACGGTGAAGTAGCGATAAGGAGTTTTTTTTTTCTTCCTTTTCTAAAACCTGATACCTTTGCTTCGTTAAAGCCATTTGCTTTCACTGTGCAACGTTGCTGTTAATGAGTAATGAGAACGATTTGATGTTATCTTGCAGGTGGCACTGTACAGCGGGTCCATTATGCGACAGGGCAATCCATCACCTTGGTCGGTGACGCCGTATTTCGGTAAAGCGATCACGCAGGATATGACTTTTTTCCAGAGAGTCCTGAACGCGGCGGCTCTGCTCACTCTAAAAATTATGCACTGGTTCACGGTCTCGATTTATCTTCAGCCAACGCTCCAGAGATACCTCGGTGAGCATTAAATCAATTTCGGCCATTGTGCTCCCGCTGATTCATTGAATCATATATATCGGTGCTGCCAATTGTATGCTAATATCGTGTATCTTTATTTATAATTAGATACTCATATAGCCCTCAATTACCGTGTCGTATTTCGTTTTTTGACAGGCAATCATATACCCAACGATCTGTACAGCCTGACGGCGGAGGTTCCCCTGACTTTGCAGAACAGTCATTATAGCGTGGGCGATTCCGTGCCCTACTTGTCGAACGTCGTAAACGTGGCGTGCCTTCACTGCAGACCGGCGATGCAATTAAGCTCCGACTTAGAATCCTTTCTACGACGCGGTAACTTCCTAATTTCGCATTTCAGCTTCACGAAATTTGCATTGTTCTCAACAGTCGCTAAACATCTCGAAATCGTCCCCTTTCATATCTCGTAGCAAAACTGTCATGTGATCAAAATGATATTTTATCTTATCGTCTACAGCCTGATCTGCAATGTGCTTTTTGTTTCCCGTTTGTTGCCTTTTATTATTTCTTACAGCTCGTCTGTTTGCCTTTTATCCGGTTTACCGTCGCCTGAAATAAAAGTTAACGAACTTTGAAAGAAATAAAAAACACGTGGCAAGAAATACAACCGTCGATGAAACGATTACACGGAGGGAAAAAGTACGAAATAAAAAGCAAAAAACAGGAAATAACGAGCACATTGTAGATCAGACTTAATTAGCTTCACATTTCTTTAGCTGAAATAAATTGTTCCAATTCATCGAATCTTGTTACATACATCAATGATCAATTCGGTCATTCGCACTACACTAAATTAATGCACATTGAAGGTTTTATATAAAATACTTAAATGCAGTGAGACATACCATAATCAAATTTGACAATGAAATAATACATTTATTTATACTAAATAACGTGACAATATTATTATTAGATAATTGTTTAAAATATGTATATGCTTTTACATTAGCTTTATTAATTTCATGTATAGTAGCTTTTAGCTAATCTAGTGTAATGCAAGTGAACGATTTTATTATTAAAAAAATAGATGTGGCTTTAACACCATGCGGTATTTATTAATTCTTATCGTGTTTATATTAACACCAACTTATAGCAACCATGATGTCGATTTAAAGCCCATGACGTTAAATCCACACTCATATTTTTAGTGTACCTAACAGAATTCGATAAATTGGAAAAATGTATTGTAGCTATAAGGAAAAGAAATGTAAGAATTATACATGCTATAAAAACCACATGGTGCTAAAAATCACCATATTCTTTTAGAGTGTAAATATACATTTATTTTGTAATAAATTTTATCAGATGTAACGGCTCTTCTTAATGTGAAAGTATCAGATACAAAATTCTATCACCTGAAGCATAACGATGGTTCTTCTACCGTTTCGTATAAGAACCATATCGAAAGGATTGACATCGTAATTTCGCAACGTACTTATTGTTTTCCATTTTCCGAGGAGTCGCTATTCAATTGGAGTAAAACGCGCAGTAAAAGTCTCCCGAACCGAACGTGCCGCAATGTTGAAGAAAACTTTTACAGGTTTTGTGTTCGTCTCGATGGGATCGTCGGTGCGAGCTTCTGGGATGCCGGAGGCATTACGGCAGATCTTTGTCGCAGTATTCTCCACGCTACCGTACAATGTCGTGTGGAAGTGGGACGGTGGCAAGATCAAGGATCTGCCGGCGAATGTGAGGACGGCTGCGTGGTGGCCGCAGCAGGAGCTGCTCGGTCATCCCAAGCTACGTGCCTTCGTTTCTCACGGCGGACTGCTATCTTTGCACGAAGCGGCTTACCACGGTGCACCGACTCTGGTCTTACCAGTCTTCTGCGATCATGATGGAAATGCGGCGCAAGCTGGTAAATCCATTCGCTTTATATCTGAGGCACGTATCGGTGGCCTTCTGCTCTGCTGAGCCCAATAATCGAAAATAATCGTCGAGGCTTTTCACAAACTTTGTTCTTCCAAACGAATGAAAGAAAATGTATATTTCTACCAATGTAGGTAGATTCATTTTCATTTCGGTAGCTTTAACTTTTTATTAATCTCGATTGAACTTTTTCTTCTAATTTTAAAAATTAGAGAAGGATACATAAGGAGTAAATTAAATTGAGATTGAAGTTAATATTGCGATAGAAATGGACCAAGTCAAGTAGAATCAATTGATCGTCGATTAAAATAGTGTGAGAGTTCTTTTACCAATTCCAATTAACGCTAATCAATAGTTAACTCAATCATCACGATTGCCAACGTGAGAACTGAACAATTTGTCAGAAAAGGAAGAGAGAGAAGAAGTTTTGATTCATTGAATTGCTATTAGCATTTCTATGAGTTGACTATTGATTAATTTCAATCAAAGATTGGTGAAAGAAGCCTTGAATGTGCGGCGAAGAAAATGGTTTGTGCGTCTCCGGAAAGTGAAAACTATAATTTTACACATAAAGTAAGGAGAATTTATCATGCGATTAATTATTTAATGCAAAATTGTTGTATTTTTGTGTGCTTATTTGGTAGGGAAACTGGGTTACGCTTTAGTAATGGATCTGGCTGGTATATCCATTAGTGCGCTTCGCGAAGATATAATTAAAGTCGCCGCACTTCACAATAACTCGTACAGAGAAGCGGCTAAAAAGAGAAGTGCGTTACTACGTGATCTTCCGATCGGTCCCAGAGAATTAGCCACGTGGTGGGTCGAACACGTTGCCAAATATGGCGGAGCTGATCATTTGAAAAGTTCAATTCGGTAATATTATTTTTTTTAATAATTATTATTAAATATACACCGATTTCTTATAATAAATATGCATATGAATATTACGAATACTCATTTAATTATAGCAATGTTCGGATAATTCTGCTAAGTTTTGAAAGATTCGTTGACAATTCTTCATTTAAATTGTAAAGCACTTACACTTCAGGCCAAGAATTTAGAAACAATAATTCTATATATCCAATAACTGTTATTAGATCTGAAGAATTATTATTAAAGACAGAATATTATTATAAATATTTTAGTACGTAAAAATGTTAATTTTTATTAAGTGTTTTTAAACTTTTGATCTGGAGTGTAGATAATTAATGGGGTATTTTTGATAAACTATTGGGCGAGTATTCGTGTGAATTATAGAGTCTACATAAATTTTATTTTGTTTCTTTTATAACAAATATTTAACGAGAGAACAAAATTTATTACAAACATTTAAATTACATTATTAAATATATTGCCGATCAAAATGAGGAAATGAAATATAAAGTTAAATATAATATTTCAGGTACATGAGCGTGTTCCATTATTACAGCCTGGATGTCGTGCTGTTTTATATATTGAGTTTAATTCTGATAATTTATGGACTCAAAAAATTATTCTGGCGAGCGGTAATCGGTCAGGATGTCTTCAAAAAGAAAGTAGACTGACATCATTCTGTGAAATTCTCTGCTAAATTAATTTTATTTATTGTAGTAAATAGGATGTGTCCTCTTAATGATGTGGTAAGTAGTGGGACTAAATAGAGGTTATATAATAAGTCAAAGGATATTCTCGACTTTTTAAAGATCTCTAATATATTTTTATAAGTTGTAATTATAAATTACTTGTAATTATAGCTTGGTTATTACGTTATCGATTTGTAATTGTACGATTCATGATAAATTTGTTTTACTTGTATATCATCTGTATTGTGTCTACATGACAAACTAAAGGATTTATACGTGTAGGAAATAAGAGACACTTATATGTGTATATACTGTAGTGTTTTCATTGAATGAGAGAGAGAGAGAGGAGGGGGGGAGAGAAATTCATTAACCGCTGATACAATAGGAATCTACTTTTCAGAAGATGTTAAACCCATTCTACAATTGCATGAACGTAGTTGTAAGTGGTTGTAATTGTAAGAATTGATTAATCACATTCTAATATTTTCCTTATATTTGACTGTAAGATTAAATGAATTGGAATGTGAGGTAAGTGATTCTTACAACTACAATCACTTACAACTACGCTTACGTAATTACATGTAGAATTTACAGCGAATGAATATTGCAACCATGACACCATTTTTTCTACGTTATCCATATCCTCTATCCTATAAAAATTGATAAATTAAATCTCATAATTATTTATCTTAATTAAAATTTCAACTTGGCGCGACAATTAATATCTATATCGTTATGAAAAAATTTATTATATCCAAAATCAATTTTAATTAAGTAAATCAACAATTATTAAACGATAAATTCTGTAATCGACGAGTTGTTAAATAAACTTATAAAATAATTAGTGAAGCGATGAATAAAATAGATTTATACAATAGAAAGATAGAGTAACATGTTCGAACGCCGTCGTATTATTTTAAACAGAATTGTTTGATATTTCAAATTTAGCGAGAAAATTGGCAAGAACGTTCCTGACGAAAATTATTACGCGTAATAATTAACTAATAGAACCTTGGTGGAAGGAAATACACACAAAGGGAGATATCAGAGGTCAACGCACGTATTTATGTATAAGGAGCGTTTCCAAGGATTAATAATGTTAATGTACAAGCATAGAGAATCGCAGGGCTTTGTGCACACATATTCATGTGACAAGCCACAGTTTGTGCAAACGTATGCAGGAACTGGCGATTGGCCTGGAGCGAGTTTGCGATATTCGATGAAGGAGGAAGTGCTGTCTCGTAGAAAAAAAAGCCGGTCGCGAGCTTGGGAAAAAGGTGCCAGACGGTCGAGGGCGGAAGTGATCGGAAAGAAGGCAGGCCAGATGTTCATCGAGCTCAACGACGCCAATTTATTTACGCCTGCTTAAGTTTTTATCTAAAAATACGGAAGATATTCAGGTTATCGCGGAGGTCACGGTGCTAGGTATGCCGATCGATTTTACGGCTTTATCGATTTTACGCGACACAGTGGTGCAATGAAAATAATCGTTATCCGACATCGTTGGCGCGATAAAATAAAACAAATAGATGGGAGATTCAAGAGCTGTCGCTCTCGACAAAAAGGAAGTAGTACTAATCAGAAAATAATGACCACTCGGAATTTAATTGGCATTGTCTCTCGACTACAGTTTGTTTTTAAACAATTTCATTTTAATCGTGTTCATTTATATTCTCTTGATTATTCAAGATAATGCGAGAAATTGGTATGAAAGTTTGACTATAAACGAATATCTCAGTTGCTAAACTTTGCAGTTAAATTCGTGGCGTTAATTTGCGAAATTTCTTGTAATTTTCGTGTATGCTGGTTCTCCCGTTCCTCCAGAATTCCATTACTATTCATGATATGTAAGAACGCCAGGTGTAAAATTATGCATAATTGCTGAATATAATTTGGAGCCAAGTTCTGACTGGCAAATTATTAATAACGGCTTTATATTGACTTATAAAATTTCAGACATTTCTGATTAGTCACAAATGTCATTATTATTTGATTCACCTGATCTTTTTACATCATGTTATTCTCATAAAGAGAATTTTTATACTCCATTTCTACCAATGTAAATTAATTTTGATCTCGTTATCTCCTTCTAATTTTTAAAACTGAAAAAAGGATAAAAAATAAGTTAGGAGATTAAAATTAATCTGCATCTGGTAGAGAAGTGAACATTAAAAATCTCGTTTTTAAAATAAACAATGTATTTTCAAACATACAAGAATGATGCAAACGATTCGTCATTTTGTCATCGAGCTTTGTATTACACAAAGTTAGAAGGCTGAAATTTTTTAACAGATTGACAATTTGCTCTCTGAATAAAAAAAAAAAGAGAAGTATCGACGTCCCATGGCGAATTCGCTTCGATTACGTCGAGAGCTCATTCTCTTTATTTATTTGACGGGCACGACGAATCTTTAGCATCAATCCAGCGTAATAACGCAATGAAACGCTTGATCGTCCTCTCAATTTCACCTCGTTGAGGATCGAGGCATCCGTGATCCGTCGAATCGACGATTGTTAAGAAAAACGCCGGAGGTGATTCGCGGTGGCGACCGCGCGGCGACGCTCGCGTCGACGCTCCTCCCCGCGACTCCGTGGGACGTCCCTCATAGTGTGCCGTTGCGTTCGCGGCTACGTTCCGGCCGCGTCGGTCCCGTCCGGTGGCTACAATCGCGGCTCGATCAGTAGCAGCTGACTCGCTGGTCGGAGTATACGTTGTCGCGCCGCCTACTCGTCGAAGCGAGCCGCGCACGCGCGCGCCCGCACGCCCGCCCGCCCGCGTTCGTTCGACGCGGCGAGAGAGTTTACTCGCGTACAAACGGAAAGTCGTCCGAGGACCAAGATAGTGTGCGCGTCGTGTGTGCCTGCCAGCCTGTCCATTCTGTGTCAGTGCTCTGTGCGTGTCTGTGCGTGTCCTCTCTCTCTCACTCTCTCTATGTGCCGTGCGCGGTACCGGTGTCGCATACGTTCCGCACGTATATATCTATACGTTCTCGGAAGAAGCGGAGAAGAGTGAGATATGCCGTTCGCAGTCTCTGTCACCGCCATCGCCACCGCGAACTACTGCGTGACAAACGGCGCGCACATGAATCGTGCGCACGCCGCGACAGACACGCACGACGAGGTGAGCGATCCCCACGCTGAATTGAGCGTATAAAGAGCGCCACGCTTTTATCCACGCTGTGTGAGTGGGATGATAATCCGCGCCTCGCGCGGAAACAAAAGCGAGCGAACGAGGTGAAACTTTAGCGGTCTGAATACTCTGAATGTGGCGCTGAATTAACTGTAATCAAATACGATTTATATGACGGACGGAGAAGAAAATTGCGAGGGAAAAAAGCGGGACGAGTTTATATACATATATTCATACACGGCGCACACGTGCAAATGTGCATACATGTGTACAAATGCGTTTATACGTCGAGTATTAATGTTTATATTAAGCGCGCGGATGGGGGGGATAAACGGGAAGAGGAGCGGAAGGGTGGAAGAAGAAACGCGGGGACGCCGCGGTCGAGAGACTCGTGACTCGTGTGAACGCACGTGGGCTTTTAGGAGAGAGCGGCGAGAGCATGTGCGTCCTCCGGTCCATCCGCGGAAGTAGCGGGGTGGCGAAACCGGCACACTTTATGCGCACCTATAACGTACGAGCGGGCGATCGATCGCGCGGTCGACGCGCCGTAGCCGTATTTCGAG